TATGCATTAAATAAGTACCAATCTGAATTATTCTGTACAATTTATAGATTCTTCGTATTACCTAAAATCGTTGTCATTTTTGATATTACTTATTTTATTTTTTTGTATTCTAGCTGTTAAATTTGCACAATAAAACAATTGTACATATAGCATACAATTATACAAACTGCAGTGATAAAATACATTAACACATTTTATTTTTATTTATTTTATCTTTATCAAATAATTTGAACGAAAAGGTAGTTTATATATGGTTTGTTTACAGGAAATGTTTTATCATCTGGTCCTAAAAAACGAAGACCATATCTTTTGAAGAGAAGAGCAAATACCACCGGCAACTTGAAAGATAAGGATGATAACGGTAAGATTTATAAATATATTTTCGTATGTTTAATTTTAAATTAGGTACCTACCTATATCCATTAAAAATTGAGAAGATGATTTACTATAGTTTTCTGTGACATACACAGAGACTACAGGGGGTTTTTTCTTTTATCATCACCGTCAGTGMCGTATTTAGGAGGGGGCCAGGGGGGATTGGGCTCCGAGAGATAAATTTTTAGGGGCGCTAAATTTTGGAGGGCATTTTAAAATACGGTAACTAAATCATTTGGGTGATAAAAAAAAAGTAATGACACTCAGATACTAATAAAATATCATGCTTTTTTACAAAAATACACCTATTGCTAAAAAAATTTAAGTTGGAAGGGGGCGTCTTTGTTTTTTTCTTACCTGGGGCGCATAATTCCTAAATACATCTCTGATCATCGACCACCCGTCACACTATAAATTTCAATTAACCTATATCTTTTGGTTAAAAGCCGGATGAACATATAGATTTTTTGTGACAAGTCTGATAGAAATCCAATCAAAATGAAAATCCCACGTAAGGTTATAATAACTATTATACATAGATAAYATATTATGTAGTTTCTTAAAATTAAGAAATATATATATATATATTATATAACACTTAAACATAGGTAAACGTAATTTTAGTTTTAATTTAAATCTTAAATTTTAGCGGCAGCAAAACTAAAAAATCGTTGACTTCTAAATTATCCAGAAAATATCTATCAATTAACCGATCGCTGAATATACAATCGCTATAATTATTCATGAGGACCTTTGAACTAACATTAAGATCACTSATCGAAATATCTATACCTACCATAAAATACTGTAATCATAGGCATGCGCAGACTTTGTCCACAGGGTGGCTCACATTAAAAAAGTCAGAACCAATTACCAAAGATTTTTGTATTAACAACTATTAGTAGGTATAGTTAAATATTAAATTTTAAATTGTATTAAGTAGGTACCTATTAATCTAATTTAATATGAAAATATAAAAATAATCTAGTGTAGTATAGATATCAGATATCTATATGCACTTAATAAAGAAAAAGCCAGAGACCACACTGCGCCACAGGAAGAGCCGTGGCATACTTTCCCCCGTGTGCACGCCTATGACTGTAATATATACATAAATGTATACTTAAATCGACMCGATCGACGGTATTTGGCCGYACTTGTTMAAAAAAAATRTGTAAACTWCCAGCCCCTAAAAATGCTTCCAGTGTAATGGGTATGTGCACTATGCACTCTCTCGAAGTTATGCCTAATATTACCTATACAATATTTGAGTACCTACATAATATTTCCCTCGGCCCGAAATTATCTTTATCCGGGATTTCCGTATTAAAAATAATAAACTGAAACTTTTTTAACGCACAATGTGATACGACTATATAGGTGATCAAACACTATTTAAACTGAATTATTTCTATGATTATTTTGGGATTGTTACATTAATTATCTTATATTTTTCCCCAACACTAAAGCGGCCCATACACGATACAATTAATCGCACGACAGATTGTACAACAGTTGTATGACTTGTCGTACGATAGWTTTTATGCAAGTTCAAACTTCATCTCGTCGTACTACACGTTGTACAACAATACCATACACGTTACGATAATCGTTTGTGAAATCGTACCAAACAAAGTTGTACAATCTGTCGTGCGATTAATTGTATCGTGTATGGGCCGCTTAAATGTTTAAAACGTCGCAACTATATTAATGGTCAATATAATATTACGAATAATACTAATATTTATTTCTCCGGAACTAATTTATTAATCGATAATAMTATCGATAAAGCTGGACTAGGTTTACTGCTCACGAATCGTTTAAATTTGATATCATAATAATTGGTGTAATAATAAATTACAAAATGCCTAAAATGTGAATGTGGCAACGTAGCGTAAAATATTCTATGCTCAATCGTGTTGCTAAAAAGGTATAAAAATAATATACTCCGTTCCACATGTATACAATTTAACTATACTAATTAGTAATTTAGGTACACGACTGACACGAACGATAGCAGATAAGACCCTGAATTACCTACCTATTACTACTATGTACTTTTCCTAAATTATTAATTAAGTATTTAAAATTAGTTTATCCATAAACCATAAACATCTTCTCGTTACTATAAATATATCATTTATTTTTGTGGATTTACTATGCAATACATTTTAATACTACCACGCAGTTAAACTTTACTTCATAAATCCATCAAATTTATTAAGTAGATCATCATAAACGACTTTTAAGTATAATATGCATAACTAAGATAACAAACGTCAAAGATAACACCAAAATAATTTAATCAACTTTTTTAATAGATAGAGTGAAAAACTATAATCATTTTTTAATTAGCAAAAAATGCAGAATTAGTTAATTACTAAGTTATTATACCCACTTCAGTCTAGGACAGTGTTATTACCTGTATCATTGTGATTTTTGATAAACGAATACATCTGAAACAAAAATAACAAATTAACTTGCATTGTTTTATACATCAAACAACACGAATTTATAAAATAATTTTAAGTTAAAATCTCAATAAAAAAACCAAAAACGAATTTAGCATAATTGGTTTTACAGTAAAAAGTGG